AAATCCTAGGTCAACTAGAAAGTGGGGTGTGAAAAAAGGTTAGTGTGAATGTTTATCCACCAGGGAATGAAGAAGGAAAAGCAGAGGTCTTGAAAAAATCTTACTAATTACATTGGAAATTTCAGCATAACTGACAGCGTAATGTTGATGAGATTTTTAAATGTAATATTATCAAAACAGCGGATGATAAACAAGGAGTATAAGGAATAAATGGAACTAGCAAGCCATTGATAGAAAATTGTATAAAAAGATGACTGATAAGAGAGAAACTTGGTTTAAACCCTCGTATGGGGGTCTCTCTCTCTCTCTCTCTCTCTCTCTCTCTCTCTCTCTCTCTCTGTGCTAATTAAAATCGTGTTAAGTTAAGCAAACGAAATATTAAAAGTGGCGCCCCAGTGGTGAAGGTATGAAAAAGAAGGAAATTCATAAATACCAGTACAGAATACATGGATCCGTGGCATAAGGTCGTTAGAAAAGATGTTGAATAGAGAACTGGAATTTTATGAATCGTGAGCTCTACATGTTTGGCCATTATTTGGTCGATACAAGAATTATAGTAAACTGAAGGGTCAAGTCGAAAGATATTGAGAAAGCTTGATTGCCTTGTTGAGATAGCGAAATCATTATTACACGATAACTCTAACAATATAAGTGAGAAAATGGATGCAGTGAGCCCTGTTTTATCTGCGTTTCACTTTAGTCGCCTTCAATGTTACCCAGTCTCTGGAATCTAAAAATCGAAAATAAATGAGGATTAAACTACCCTTTACCTTTATATAAGATTTCAAAAGGATATCCATAGAAAAGAAAAATAACTTGTGAGTTTTAGCTGCCGAACATAGGCCCATTTACCCCGGTACGTTTTTTTGTTTACGTCGGTGACAAAAGGAAGTCGCAAAGAACTGCTCAACAGATGCACTCACGCCATCGTACCACACGGACCTGCTCAGCACTTTCTCTAATACCATGAACAGTAAAGTGTTTATGATTTTTTGTTATCTACAGTATATACGGTGTTGACTGCCTCATAATCCTGCATGGTAGAACTCCGCATAAGAATCTTATTTTATATTGCATGGGAGTAAACTCCAAATAAAGTCCCAAAGTTGCTGACTCGTCCATTATCCACCTACCTATTGTATTACCCATTATCCGCTTACCTATTACCAATCACCCATTATCCACTTACCTATTACCCACTCACCCATTATCCACTTTCCTATTATCCATTCACCCATTATCCACGTACCCATTATCCACGTACCTATTACCCACTCCCCTATTACCCGCTCTCATTATTCACTTGCCCTTTACCACTGAATCACTAATAACATGTCAGGCCTGCTAGATAACATCACAGGGGTGTCGTGCCTGGATATGAATGACAATTCTAGTCTCCTTAAATATATATGGTACTACTACTATTACTTTTTTTAACTTGGCCTCCAGCCTCCCACCTTCGCCGCCATTTTATTGCCTTAAAATTAAATATCCTAATGCAAAAGTAACTCCCCTAGCTGTGTTGAGTTAGTTGAGCCGCAGATCTATGCGGCATTCAGTGACTGTTGCCTCATAGTCAATATCTACGACTGTTGTATGCTTTGGGGCCGAAGATCTCGTTCCCATGCGGATAAGCAAAACAGACCTAAGGAGAGAGGAGGACAGTCGACTTCTCAACCAGGCTGCAACGTGACTTCTGTGTTGCTGCTTCCGCTCAGACAACACCTCCGCCAGTCTTGCATAGAAGCATCTTACACTTGGTCCCATCCCGCCGGAGGTTGTGAATACCAGAGAAGTGAAGCTGCCCCGATCCACATTCAGAATTCACTTTGCATTCGTTCTACTCTTGTCGTTCTCGTTCCTCTTGTGTGCAGCCTCAAGAGACAAGTTACGGTGACGTGTGGCCATGGGGTCGAATATCCTGACATCAAAAAAGGCACGCTGGCCCCTCGTCCAGAATCCTCGAGCACTAACGTCCACACAGGCTTCATTATATAGATGTGTTGAAAATCCTGTGGTGGAGGTTCTCACTGTCAAATGGAAGAAGGTCGGTTTCACCGTGACGTTGTGGCAGATTTCTTTCCGTAAATTTGTTGTGAGATTCCTCATTTCTCTCATGCCTCATGCATACGAAGCAGCCCTTCTTGCATACCATGGCGTGGTCGTTGTTGTAGGATGAGCCCCACACGCATTAGGAGGGCAAACCTTCTACTGGACAACCATACCTTAGAGCAATGGCATCTGTGAATTTTTGTTTATTAGGGCTGAACGTTTTGACCTTAACTGTAACGTTGTTAGCCAGTTCGAGGCTCCCTCTTCCTGCGCTATAGCTACCTTATTTTTTTCAAGTTCTCTGGCAATTGCAGCAACAGTTGTTGCAGTTTATCACTTTGGGTGTGCTGCCGTTCTGTCGTAATAAACTGTCGAATCTTGTTTAATTCGTTGGCATCCACCTGACTTGTTTCAATCTGAGCTATCATGTGCTCAGCGAGGGCTGCCGTGAGCTTGACTGAGTTCTGATGTTCAGTGGTAGCAAGCTCCTCTCTATTGGTCATTCCCATTCCCCCCAGTCTCGGTAGTAGTGCAAGGAGTGACCTTTCTGCAGGGGTTAAGTGAAAGTGTTTCACTAATGTTGGAATAAAAATGACGCTGATGGCTTCTTCCAGAGGGTGGAGGAGGGGTCCAATACCAGGGGTAGTGCGCATCAGGTAATTCCAGCGATAATTGACTCCATGGGTGAATGCTGCAAAAGCCGCGTGTGGCTCCGTTTTAGCAATATCAGACAGAGCTTGGATTTCCTTCACATACTCATTTACCTTTCCCGTTACGTACACGGTCTTGAAGTCTTTCGTGCCGATTACTGCACCTAAATGTCTTCAGCAGTCCTTAGTTATTTTGACCTCGCTTCCGTCGAACACCCCCATTGCACATTCTTAGTGTTCTGGTTTCATAATGAGGAAGGACTTGCTGGCATTTGGGTGGTACCCTATTTGTGGACCACGTGATGTTACCAGGTCCCGCCACTTTTTGATGTCTTCCACTTTTCCTGCTCCTGTAAGGTCATCAGCATATGCCACTTGCTTGACCTTGGTTTTACAAATTCTATTGTATGTTGGGACACGGATAAGCATAATGCGTACATTGCCATGGCGGCAGGGTCCCCCTGCGTTGTTCCCTCAGTCGACTGTATGATGGTATCTCCTCTTAGGGCCTTGAAGCTTGTTATATAGAGGTCTGATGGGTTTCTATAGGTGTTTTCAACATACATTGAAAAGCTTAGACATTTGATCTTGATGTTGTGCAGTGTAGCCTTGCGGTTGATTATGTTGAATGCGTTGGAAGCGTCAACCAGGAGTACTGCCTCACAGTCACGCTGCTCTAATATCTTTCTCATGGCGTAAATGGCAGCTTCACCCTCAGCCTGGTGGCCAACGCATACTTGCATGTTCCCTGCAGCTGCCCTGACATAATCATTCACCACCTCCATTATTAATTTTCCAATGATCCATCTCAGCACTTCCCCCATCCCTATAGGGCTACATCCTGGATTTGTATCCAGGGAGATGAGGCGGCAGGCCGACAGAGCATGAAAGTGATGGCAGCAAGAGGTTGCTGGGGTGGTGGCGGCATTGCAGAAATCACTTGCTATATCACCAAACTTGTTAGTGCTGAAGATGACTCTCCAGCCGACTGCATCTAGACCTGAAGGGTCTACCCCTCCCTGTGTCTTCAGTGCTTTTTTCCACACCATCCCTCCTGTTATTTTCTCGAACATGATAGCATTTGAAGGGTTATAGGCACCCTGGAACCTGATGCCTGCCTACTACTAATAATAATAATAATAATGATAATAATAATAAAGATGATGGTAATTCATAAAATTACATTCATTTACAGTATGCATAAATTTGAAGACAGCAGTGTAGTCGACATGTGAAATCACAAGTCAGAACTGTTATGCATGGCGTAATGCACAGTAATACATTGCGTTATGCAAAGCGTAATATTTTTATTCTCGTTAACCTCCCCCTTCCGTTGTGGTGTCGGCGTTGGTGTCGGGATGTATGCATGTAAAATATTTTGTATAATTATTTGTGAGCAAAATTTTCCTAAAATGTATGTATGTACGTACGTTTAACTATTTTTGCAGCTTAATGTAGGAGTTGTTTTATATTAGTGCCTGTAGGCTTGTAGTCCACCGATAAACGGTGGGTTGTCAGTCATTGCAGGGCATTGGAAGTGAGAGGGCGTCGAGTTTGTCAGTGGTGGATACCTTGTCTAATATGGTTTAGTCGAGTATTATATATTCAGTGCTGCTCTAATATGTATTGTGTGTAAAATGCAATCACTTGTCGTGTGTTAAAGTGGTTTATGGTTTATATACTGTGCACATATTAGTTGTTTATTAAGGATGGAAAACCAAGTGCAGTTTAAAGTTGGAAGGAGTCATTGCCTACGATGTATTGTCCTATGTTAAATATTTTCAGCCATTGATCACATATATTATTTATTTTCTTGATTTAATTGTTCCGTTCATTTTGTGATCTGCACATTTATTATGGTAAACTTTTGTTATTAAATTTTATTTAAAAATTTCGTGACTTGTATATTTCCAAACCTTCACTTCTGAACTGTTGTGATAAAGTGAGAAGGCTGTGATTGAACCCATGACATACAATTTCGTCCTTAATTGTGTTTAACTTTTGCATTTAACATTGTTTGTAGTGTATTGTAATAACACTAATTTTAGGTGATAAATATTAAGGACTAAGGTGTGCTGAGTTGCCAATTTGTTTGTTTTTTGTTGTGCTATATGTGCCCTCATTATTATATTCATATTTAACGTAATTCAAGTTGCTAAATTATAGCATAACAAAACCAAATATGAATTCTTTTAAAGGTAAATATTATGAGTAATATTTATTTAATAATTTCAAAATCTTAAATGTAACGGAAATAGAAATAATACAAAAATGAGTCAAGTTTACCTTCTTTATGACATGACGGGAGTAGTGGCTCCAGCCCGGGGCGTCGATCAGGGAGGTGTCAGTGGCCTTGTATGAAGTGGTGTTCAACAGCTCACACTCTTTCCTTGCACCTGCGAGTGGACAATTGGTCTCACACGTCAATACCATGAATTCATAAGGCACGGAGTCACCCTTAATAGTTACAGTTGTTACTCAAATAAACACAGAGTTAAATTTCGATATTTATTTTATAATTTGTTGGTGTAGTTTCGTTTGTGTCTGTCTGTCTCTACGTGTTCTCTTTATTTTGTTTTTCGTGAGTGTTTACAACTGTTTTTTTTTTTGTGTGAGGTTATTTTCCATAGTGCACCATTTGTGTGTGTGTGTGTGGTAATTTTCCATAGTGCACCATCTCTTTTTATGTATTAATGAGACCATTGAGAGGCAAGTATCGAGAAGGAAATTACTACACTTCTTTGCCTGGCCAGCATTTGGAGTGCCTATAGGAGGGAGTGCTGTTGAGGGTAGTACGAGTCATACCATAACAAAATATGAATAGAAGTTGGATCAGTCTACCATGATGTTGGTCGACAGTATTAATACCCTGTGATCCTCGCTCACCTCTATATTGCCAAAGAAATGAAGAGTCGTACTTTAGGGTAAAAGACCTACTTATTGTACGTGTCTTACCTTAGTTGCATAAACTTAGAAACGTATAGAAATAACAACCTTTGATAAGTTTATACCATAATTTATTTTCCAACTTTTTCACCATAGCGCACGCAACTCACTAGATAAACTCACTTAAAATGTTAGAAACTGTACAAGTATTCATGACTATCAATAAAATTCTTAAACGCTTAAAAACTGTGTTGTTTTACCTGAGTTAACACGAGGTGTGGTTAGTTTACAGGTACTATTTCCATGTGATGTAAATAATGCCGTGAACCCGAAATAATAATTGTACGCACATTAATCTTAAATAATGTGGATGTTTTCTACAGACTGCAGACATTTAATGATCATATTCTATGCTCACTGTTTTCGCAAGTGATGAAATGTGAATAAGACCATGAGAGGGGGGAATTATGGAATGAATTTTATGAATTTCAGTATATTAAACACTGTTGTAGAAGTGTGCTATTTTAATAAAATTTAATGAATAAAATGACAAATGACATCATTTCTTACGATGGCGTCACTGGAGAATAGCTTTGTTTACAAAAGTAATTCTTCATAGAAACCGTGTTCAAAGCGAAAATTAAAACATAAGGTAGGAAAAACAGCAAGAAAAGGTGTGACCATAAGTATTATAATTGAATTTTAAATGAATAGAACCAAGTTCATTATGTAAATAACACATGATCTTAATAGTTGTAAAACAAAGACAGGGAAGGGGGGGTGGGGTGCACACTGACGGGCAGCATACCGTAAGGACTTTCATGTTGCAGGTGTATTTCTTTCTATGAGTGATTTCAACACTATTTTCTAAGTACCTGTATTTATAGTTTTTGACTCTGTAAGTGTGATTAAGCTGCGCGAGTAATGGCTACCACCCATTTGGTAAAAATCTTCCAGTCGTAGTGTAATGGGCCCCTGTCTCATCAACAGAACATATATAAATGGGTCAATACATCTGATATATTCAGATTCACCACCCTGTAACTTTCCACTGGCTATGAGGTGACATGTTCAATGCACGTGATAAGGTGTGCCCACGGGAAGCTACGTCATACTATGCTGAGTAAAGGCATAAGTAGCCGGCTCTCTGGCCACCTGAAGCGAGCAGTAGTTTGATATCCTTGACTAGAGGAAGACGTTATTTGAGAGCCGCAGTGGCTGGCTCCGTCTTCCCTCGAGGGGGAACGACGTACCCATACCGTTCTCCCTCGATGGGTCACTACTCATGAGTCGCTCACAGAAAGTTATATCGTAAGGACGTGACCTAACGTTTATAATACATAAACGCCGTCCCTTTCTCATTCACTCATATACAGTGGAACTTACGGTCGATCTACACTCAGGAATTATAGATACAATCCTTTTATAATAAAACAAGGAACTACAGTTTGAGTTTCGTTACTTAAACCCAAATAATAAATATATGTGAACGGCCTGGTTAATTGTACAACACAGCCGATTCAGTAGCTTGTAAAAGTCGCATGATATACATAAAGTAATGGCTTATAATTTGGTCAGGTTCAATTGAAAGTGAATTGTGTGTAATTAAGTTGATAGCACTTTCTCTTACCATTCTGATAATTGTGCGATCGAATCCTACAAAATGGTGACTTTCACACACTCACAACCACCACCAGTATACATAATAGATCCTATTCCTGCCATGGTACAGGATGACCAAGCAGTTGCGCATATCGTGATTCTTAGCCTTCATCAGCTAGCAGGTTATACCTCACCATTAGCAAGATGCTTATTCACCGAGGAATTTTTTCACCATAGCTCAACTCACTATAGTGTACTAATTTACTACTGAGTATACTAACGCTAGTGTACAGTACAAGGACGGAACCCAGTCCTCCACTCTTCTTTGCGAGGTAAACGCCCCAGTATACAGAATGTACACAAGTGGTTTATTTATGTTATAAATGATTAATATATAAACATGTTACATATACAGTGTGACCAGATGGTCATATAAACTATCTGTTACTGACCGTGATGGTTGAATGACACACACTGATTATTCAGGGTGCAGGAGGAGCCGCAGATGATCCTGGATGTATAAGTGGTCCTGAATCCTCCCTTTGAGGAGAGCGCGTCCTTCTCTGTTAGGGAGAAGTAAGTGATTAAACAAACGAATTTCCAACAAGAAAATAAGACTCCTGTAGAGTGAAATAAACCCAGTGTCTAATACAACCCCAGTGTGTCTCTAAAATAAGTCCAGTGTGACTCAAATAAGGTCAATGTGGTCAATGTCTCTAAAATAAGTCCAGTGTCTAAAATAAACCCAATGTGTCTCTCAAATAAGCCCAGCATGTCTCTAAAAAAAAGCCAAGTGTGTGTCTAAAAACAGCCATGTGAAATATTTAGATGATACACTGTATTTCGAAAAGTACAAATAACTATTTACAATACGAAAAATATGGCAAAATATACTATTTTCCTCTACATAGGGTCAAGATACCTCAGCAATATTATAGTCAAGAGGTTATGGCTCGGCAACGAGGAATTAAGTTATAAGAACAAAGGCTGTAAACTAGTGATCACTAAATCAGAAGGTGCCTCCCTGTTCTTAGGAGCAATATATTTGGGTAATATCACTGTTATTGGTGCGTGGAACAGGTAAACACTACAGTAATCAGAAAAACTAAAGAGATACAAAACAGATATGGACTGGTGCTGGTAAGAACAAGATGGAAGATACGTTAAATTATACTGTGGGTTAGAGGGTGATATGCTTCTAACCAGTTAATGAGAGACTACGAAGACTCAGGTGTATATATAAAATGGTTTTACCTGTCCATTATAATAACGTATTCACCAGAAGTTCGAAAGATTTTTTTTTTGCTACACTTCCAGAAATGAAGGATAAAATACCAAATTACGATGAGATTATAGTAACTGGAGACATGAATGGAAAGATGGGTGAGGAGACCGATATTTTCACACCACCCATTAGAGATAATATCTTGTTATGATACATCAAATGGTTATGGTAAAAGGCTGGCGTCCTAAACTACCGCAGGAAACACGATAAGTGGATGGGCATGGTCCTTACACATCAACATTCACAAGGAAACTTAGACTTCTCCAAATACATGTTTTCATATCCCAAAGATTCAGAAGATAATGAGATGTTAGCAGTGTTAGGGCAGCTGACTGTGACTCAAGGAGGCAGCAAGAGCATTATATCTTTATATTCACTCCATTTACTCATGCTTTGTCCGTCCCTAATAATATAGGTTTTTCATCTAGTACAGTACAACAAAAGACTATAGGAACAAACTGACGAGTAGAAATGCACTTTTGTCTAGTCGAAAATCAGAATTTATTGAACAGTCAGAAATTAACTTTAAATAAGTTCGTTTATTCTGCCAGTCAGACGAACATTGTAAAGTATGTTACTTTACAACGACGGCTCAATCATAACAGTAACGAATATCTATCGACTTTTTGCAGCGCTCAAGACAGTATAACAATTTGAATTATAAATTAGCTACAGTGAAGAGGTTGCCGAGGGCTACTGTTTTTAGTCCTTGGCCAAGGGGTCCTACCGTGGATAAGGGTGACGGGGGGGAGGGTGCTACTTAGGCTTCGCGTCATTATACAGTGGGTCCAATGTAAAGTTCTAAACCAATTTTCTAAAATACGTTATCAACTCGTATATGTTTAGCAAGTATTTCAAGTGTGTATAAGCATTTAACTCTTCGGCCCGAATTCCTAACAGTAATTTGAAACTGCATGAAAGTTTGAACCAAGGATCGAGCGAATAATGAAAAGATTGTTAGTATTCAGAACGCTGCCTTAGGCCAACACAAAGATTCAAACCGGGTTTGAGATCACAATTGTCGATCCTCTCGTTAATCCAGCCTGGAGGCAGGTTTAGCCGGTCGATCCTTCAAGCAAGTCAACATGAATTTTGACAGAGCGAGGTTTTCGGCGATATTATCAAATTGGAAATTTTGTAGAGAGAAGACTGATGGTAGATAGGCAGAATTCTATCATTTTTTATGATGACACGCAATCTAAACAACTATATAGGTTCAGAAAGGGAGATTTCCTTGATATTTTCTGTGATATGGCGAATCTACTTGACAGACCTGTTGGCAATGGTTCACCTCTACCTCTCATTCATCAGCTGATGATTGCTTTGAGATTCTTCGCAACGAATAGTTTCAAGGTAAGAGTTCTGGTAATGTGTTACAACACTTTCGTGTTCAGGGTCCATGAAGATCAAGCGAATAAATGTAAAGAACGCTGACGCTTCTTTATTTTGAGTGTTTTTCTTTAGGAAAACTATTTTGGTGCATTTTCAATTAAATGAATCCATGCTGAGGGCATTTTACTTTTAAGTATTAATAAAGGAAAGTCTTTTCTTAACATTATTTATGAAGGGGAAATGTGGGGTA